TGAAACCACTGAACTGATGAAAATCGAATATCGACAAAAATAGATGAATATCAATAATAATTGATACAATGGACCATTTGCATTATAGACTAAATTTTGATCTAGACAAAAATTTCATCACCGCTTGAAAGAGCATCACAAAATTAGTCATATTCCCAAGTTTTGTTGCGAAATGTTGGAAAATGCGGATAATATGGCCTTGCGAAATTTGCAATTTTCAGTCATTTTGTATTACAAACGGGAAATTGATGCCCCAACACCCGATTGGGCTGTCAATTTCCCGTGCTTAATACAAAATGACTGAAAAACGGCAAACTTTGCATGGCTATATTATCCGCATTTTACATTTCGCAACGAAACTTTGGAATATTACTAATTTTGTGATGCTCTTTCAAGCTGTGATGAAATTTTTGTCTAGATCAAAATTTAGTCTATAATGCAAATGGTCCATTGGCCATAACTTTTTGTGACTATCAATTAAGTAATTAATATCGATTGAATTTCCGATGATCAGTTGAATTTCCGATGATCAGATCATCGATTAAGTACGCTGTACGCCGGGAACTGTTGTGGTGTCCCTGCCTTTCTTTGTGTTATCTTTTATATGTGCATGTGTTTTATAGTTGAAATTGTTGTATTATTGGCAAAGCTAAATAAATAAATAAATAAAACTACAACAAGAACACGCGAGTGCATGAAATAATAGTACAGACTGTATACTACAGCTGTAAAAATGTATATTATTATCCAAATACTATACCTTGAGCAACAGTAGACGAAACGGATTCTGCTGCATAATTTCCAGAGTGTATTTTTCTTGCCGTCTGCTGTATTACAGCAGGAATACGCCGGGACAAAGCTAGCCTTACTAACATTTTAAAACCACATCAAAACTTGATTTTCACCTCTTGACCGCGGACATGTTGTTTTGATATTATACATTTTCAATGACGTCATTGAACATACAGCGGATGTTGCTGCGCGGGCGCGGTTTCAAAAATCGGCGGAGAACTGAGGCGGAGAGTGGGAATATTAATAAAATGCGCAAACTGATAAACAAACAAACAAATCAACAGGCAAACAAACCTGACATCTTTCCACTCTGATTTATCGCTTGGACGAACTTTGTCAAAGAAAAGATAGTTCGGATGTGTGGTAACACGGCAAAATAAAACAGATCAATCATTCGTCAAGATGAACTACTCGCGTACCAGTGCGTACTTGTTTTACACCAAAACATTGAGAAAAACATGCGTGGGCAAGGCCTTGGACAAACCACCACTGGAAAATTATCAGGCATGATTTCTTCTCGGGACCGTTGCCAGTTCTGCGCAACTCCAGTTCATGTGGATTGTTCGTCTGAGATCGTATGTCTTGATTAAACACAGGTTACCCGCGTGGCAGGCTCATTGAACACAGGTGACGCTTGTTAACGGATGAACCGTCTCTAATATAAAGGGTGAAACATTAGAAAAGTGATGGGTGGGTGGGGGATGGTTGGGTGGGGGAACAAAAAAACTCGCGCAAAGAAAAATAAATGGGGGGAAATTCGTGCAAAGAGGGAAAGCAAAGAAAAATACCTTCAAAATTTCGCAAAAACATTCCAACACAAGTAGGCAGCCGAAATAAAATTCGTGCAAGCTGAAAATCCCAGCTTCCCATCACTTCTCTATGGTCCGGGATCCACCCCTTTCGAACCAATACAAAACGTATACACAAAGGAATTTTCAGTTTTTCACGCAATAATTCCGCACACAACGCACAGAAGACACAACGCACAGAAGACACAAAAATTGAAATTCTCCAAGCTCATAAACACTGTATTTTATTACTTTCATTATTTATTTGCAAATTACTGCAAATATCATATATGATCTATTCTGTGGTTAATTCCACGTCACTTGAACACCTTAAGACAATCTAGTATAGTACACATCACAAGGGGCCTGCCCTGGGCGGTACATAAAACTGAGAAGTTGTCCTGCGTCTGTCCAATGGGTTCTGTCCTTGTTTCGGAAAACCTCGCGGCCCCCTCCCGGATTGCAGAGAACCATATCCACCTGGCACCTCCTCCCCAGTGTAAGGTGCAATGAGGTTGGGGTTATACCGGACCTTCATGTACATCGGTGGCACTCCGTGTGACCAGGGGATATTCTTGGCTAAGAATGGATCACTATGGTGTGTGTGTAGTCTCATTCGTTCGAGATGTTCGTGTTGTGGTAGATGGTGTAATCCTTCGCCGTAAGATGACGATCTTTCTGAAAACTGACCCGCAGTTTGTATACCTCGCGGTCCTGTTTGCCACATCTTGAAAAATATTTATAACATTTGTTATTACACATTGTTTTTACTGAGACCAGTTGGTTTAGAATGGATTCACTCCCCTCTCCCAAAACAAAACTAACCCTTCTTACATAAAGGTGTCCTCTTACTCTATAGTTCTAAACTGTTCTCTTAAGGTAATTCCTCAGTTTTGCATTGCGCACTTTTACTGCGCACATCTTATAACTTATAATTTCATCCATTATACGTACCGTTTAAAAAATATCATTTTATGACAATTTTATGTTACTTCAAGACATCTTTGGTTACATTCGTGCAGAGAATTACGTTAAAATCAATGTTTTCAAAAAAGGCATACAAAAGTGTAGCTAGGGTTCCTGTGTCTGTAGTACTGCGGATTCAGGTAGACCGTGAAATGCGAATAGTTGTCGCGTTAGTTTTAACAGTTGTACGATGACGTTTCTAGGCAGATTTTCGACGTTTCTAAAAATTGAACGTTGTAATTACAAGGTAATTGCCAGATAGTATACTTCAAAATAAGGTTTCCGTTTTTATATCAATTTTTTAAATAAGTTAGGGTTAGGTTAGGGTTTAGTTTTGCGTTAGGATATTTTTTCTACGTTATAAAAACGTAAACCTTATTTTGAAGTATACTATTTAGCAATTACCTTGTAATTACAACGTTCAAATTTTAAAAATAAACGTTGAAGCCACGCCTTAGAAACGTCGAAAATCTGCCTAGAAACGTCATCGTATACGACTGTTAAAACTAACGCGACAACTATTCGCATTTCACGGTCTACCTGAATCCGCAGTATATTTATTTACTTGTATTTCACGTTTTAATACCACAATTCCCTTAAAAGATCGGCGAGACGGTGACCCCCGTTTTTTAACTGATAATTTATTTCTTTAATGCATTTTACATTTTATATCCGAAATTAAAAGAAAAATAATTTCTGGATCTTGAAAAAAATGCTTTATCAATGCATGTTCTCAAAGAAAGATATGTAAAGAAATGTGGAAAAGACATTTGTGGATCAGAATTTTACACGTTAGTAGTTTCATTTTGCTCAAAACACAATATTTTTTCAAAAATAATTACAAGATAGGTTTACTAAAGCAAAATCCGCGCTAAAAGCGTCAATAAATATCGGGCTGTTGTGAGTTTGCTGTTACTCATAATGAGCGTCAAGATGGTGCCATATTGGGGGTAAATGTGGTATATTGTGATTGTCATATCTTCTTAATGAGTCCGACTTTTTTGTGTGATTTTACTTTAAGTATATCATAAACTCCATGCCTGGTAAGTTTCAGCAGATTCTCATTTCGGGAACAATTACTGCGGAATTGCCTTAAGGAGTCCAGTAATTGTCACCCATTATTCCTGCAGTGTTGCAAGAGAAGGTAATATACTCTGGTATTTGGTAGAGTTAAACTAGACCCACTCTTCTCACAACAGATTGCATACAGTAAAGCCCCACATAAAAGAGCCAGTAGGTTAAGAACCACTAGCCTGAAATTTGGGCAATTAAGCATCCAAAATACAAGTTTTTTTTAAGTTTAGATATATGTAACGATAACTATATTAGTGTCACAGCAATAGTTTTATGCAACAACAGTCCCCATTAATGTGTAGAATAGAAAAAAAGTATTGTGTGAAGTAAGAGTATATGAGAACAACTTCAGCCTGAAGTCAAAATTCACTGGTTCTTTTATGCGGGGCTTTACTTTACTGGAAGAGGTTATTTCGCTGGCCTCAGAGTGACAAAACGTAACAAAACAACGATTTTATTAACACTAACCCTATTCTAAACACTAACTCTAACCCAAACCCTAATCTTTACTCTAACCCTAACCTAACCCTACTCCAATTTGTTTCTAAACCAATCTTGAAGAAATTTTTTTTGACGAAATGTCATTCTGAGGTCAGCGAAATAACTTTTTCCTTACTTATTGCTGTAATGAAAACTCGAGAGTTGTTACTTACAGGAGGTTGAAAAGTCGCATTTCTTTGATCAAATCTTTCGCTCCTCTCATTAATTGATTTGGAACTATTTGAACTATAAAAACAACGAAATAAAGTGATCAGAGAGCTTTAGACTTCACCACGAGTACAAGACGCCGTCACTGGCAAGCAAGTTGGTACGACCGTTTATTTACACTTTTGAGAGATCTTTTCTTCAATTAAACGATATTCAGGCAGGGGTGTATATTTTCTATAATTCCCCCCCCCCCCCTTGGGGGGGGGGGAAGGAATCAAAGGGTCTTAGGGCCAGGGAAGAAATTCAAAGAAGAGTGAAAAAGAAAGGAAAGGAAGGGAAAAGAAAGAGGGAAAAGAAGAGAACAAAGGGAAAAGAAAGGAAAGGGCAAAAGGAAAATGAGGGAGCAAAAGGAAAAGAAGAGAAAGGACAAGGGATGAGAATGAAGAAGAACTGAGAAAACTTGGGGATCAGTCTCATATTGTCAGCAAGGAGGGGGAGGGGTATAGATGAAGTATGACTTTTTATGGCAAGAGGAAGGGGAATTGGAACATAATGTCAATATTTAAATCATAAATTAAATATATTAATGTTTGTGAAACTAAAAACGTTTGTTAAAAAATGAACGTAATTTAGAGAGAGGAGTACTTCTTAATGGGAACATCTCTAGTTAATATATCAATAATCAATTATTTTGTTGTGCTGTTTATCATTGAGATGCAGAAGTTCTACATAAACTAAAAAATTTGTTGTCAAAATCAGCATTGTAACATCATTTTTCTACCTTGAACCAAACGTTTTTTCGAAAATAATTCTTTAAATCGTAGGGAAATTATTGGAATAATAAAGGTGGAGCCCAGACTCCCGTGTCGCGCCCAAATTTCTTCAAGATACAGGGAATACAGGGAAGAAAATCAAAGCTGAAGAGAGGGGGGGGGGAAGAAATCAAAGGTCATTGAAGAATATACACCCCTGTATTCAGGAATGAAACAAAGCATTCTGATTAGCATGACACTGAAACCGAAATATTACATCTCTCAAAAGCTGGTCTATTAGTATTTTTCGTATAAAGGTTTACACTATAAAAGTTTCTTTGAGGGAACTAACTCACCGTTTAACACTAAGTCAGTTCCCTCAAAGATTTCTTACAAATTCTTCAAAACTTCCTACCTATACAAAATTCTTACCTATGCAAAATTCCTACTGTGATCACAGAAGCTTTAACAGTGTGAACAAGTCTTAAAGGCTCGTTCAACTTTTAATAGTGAATCATATATATTACCTAGCCTGTTTTGCAGCAGGAAAAAGTTCAAAGCCAGATATTTCCAAGCCAAGAGAGAAAACAGATTCTCCAACCATCGAGTTCGGGTCACCCTCATCAACATCTACACCATCTTGTCGTTTCAATGATGGCGGCCATACTTCCTTCCGTGGAAACTGCACAGAATGGAATGAAAAACGTTAATTATAGGTTTAATAATTCCAGTGTTAGTACAGAAAACCAGGGCATCCAAACAAAACCTGAAACAAATTATAAACAGACAACTGCCAATCTCGTTCCCCGAGCCTGCGATCCTCGGGAAGGAACGTGAGGCTCTGGGATAATCCGTTGCCGGAAGCCAGGGATCCTGGCTAACATTGAACTGCGCATTCCATTTCAACGGCCAATCAGATTCCCCTCTGAAACTGATTATCCCAGAGCCTCACGTTCCTTCCCAAGGATCGCAGGCTCGGGGAACGAGATTGGACAACTGCATATAGACCCATTGCACATGACGTCACAGCACCGGCGACGATGCATCTGTAGGACAAATTAGCAATCTATGCATAATATAACTTTTGTAAACAAAGCAAATTTTGTAAAACTTTATAATAATTTTGTATTAAAATGGTTAGTTTTTGCGCTGTATGTGGTGGTTGTTGTACCCGAACAGATATTGTTAGGGAGCATCTGGAGGACACTCTAAGGATTTGTGACGTCAGTGCAAAGGGTCTATTGAAAGAATGGAACTTAGGTCACAAAGATGAAAGTGAGATGTATTGGTAGCCTAGTATCAGGCATCGTTTCCCTTCCTTAAATGCGGGTGGATGGAATCGATGGATGGGAAAAGAGGGCCTGACACAAATCCCTGTCAAGTAAAAAAGCCAAAATCGAGCTTTTCACCTGATTGGTCCATCAGACTAAAAAAATTTGATCTGTCTTTTGATTGGTTGGTGCTAATTACATTGTACTACCACTGTTCATGACCTATTTAGTAGTTTTAACTATAATTAGATTGTTGTTGACATTGTGTGAAATTGACCTTCGAAGTCGTTACGTCAAACAATGAATATTTTACCCACATATATACCACATTGCATTGCGTATACCTAAAGTTTAGATGGTGTCAAAATTGCCTGACGTAAGCACATCTAGGGTCAATTGACATTTCTCCTGGAACATTTTGATTGGATATTAAATATAAACTTTACTGTGTGTGAAGAGCGATCGGATTAAGGTTTGCGTCAGGCTAATGTATAAGCCACTGAATATCTCTAAACATTATACGTTATACCACAATTCACATACACTTTCAACAGTCGAGGTAGAAGTTGGAAGCGCTGGACTCCAAATGCTTCTTTGTGACGCCTGTGAAACTTGCTGTTCATATCTCTTCGACCAACCACCATTATACTCAGAAGGTGCTATCTCCTTGTTAATGGATCCACAGCTGTAATATATACTGTCTTGTGAATCGTGTAGTGTCGATGATTGGTTGGCTAAGTTAGGCACTTGAAGAGATAGAGTGTTTGCAGGCGTGCTTTCTGTATCGTGTTGTTGCTTATCAGGATGACCCCAGACACGCCTAGCAAAAATATAGAAAATCCAATTCATTATAAACTTTGGTAAATGATAAGCATGCATGGTACCATCAAGACTTTCAAATCAACAAGTTTTAATATATTATGCACACCCTCCATCAGGGGCGTCAAGTGGCTCTAAAAGTGGGGTGCACATTTAGCGGCCACCAAAGGTGTGTGTGTGACAATCTGGGGGGTTCAGGGGCACGGCCCCAGAAAATTTTAAAACAAGAGTCTCTGAAATGCTATTTGCAGCATTTTAAAAAAACGATTTACAGACTTATAATAGTAACAAAATGTCATAAAATATCTCAAATTATTTTTGTTGTTTATTATTGACAATTGTTAAAGAGTTTATTTTTATCTAATTTTACTGTAATACGGTCTTTATGGGAATTTACTTTTTTGTCCAGATCAAAAATTAGTCTAGTATGCAACTTGTCTATTTTCAAACTTGACTAGTCTAGTCTCAAATCATATCAAATCAATCAATTCAAATCAATCTCAAAACAACAAATCAAATCAATTTATTCACAAAGTAGTTCATTTAATTAAATAAAACAAAACAAAATATGAAACAATATATGTTTTTTTTATATTTTTTCTCTGAATAGTTTTCATATTATCCAGCTTATTCTGACAACGCATTGTCATGGGTCTCCATATGACTTTCAAGTTCAGTCGCAATGTCAAACTCAGTATTGCAAATACTACAAATGTATCCAATACCAGTTGCTTCTTGGGCCTCTAACTCTTAACAGACATCACACTGGTAGCTGGTACCATGGTCTTTCATCTTGTGTTGTGTCAACCCCAGACAATCAGGGAATTGTTTGTCGCATTTGTCACAATTGTAATGACTACTGCTAGGCATCTCATTGGCATATCGCTGTGGTTGATTAATTTCTCTGCCACACATGCTGCACAGTAGTAGTAGTAGTAACAGTAGCAACTTTATTTAACAAGGGTAAAACACATTACAGCCGAAGGCTGAAAAACGTGTGGCCCTCAATTGTAGTTGTAGTATTTTGGTCCTCAATTGTTTCTGAATGGAAATAACTTGTTACAGAACTTGTTACAACAGCAAGCCATCTTTCAAATGCACTCTTCTGTGGCACTTCAGACTTTGTTCTCGTGTGAATATTTTCTTGCAGACAGCACACTCAAAACTCTTGTTCTTCTTGTGCACTTGTGCTTTATGTGTTACTAAGGTACTGGATTGTGAAAATCTAGTCTTGCAAACATCACATTCATAAGGTTTGCATGCAGTATGTGTTCTTTTATGTGTCCTTAAACTTCTCAATTGAGAAAATCTCTTGTTGCAAACATCACATTCATAAGGCTTGTCTCCAGTATGTGTCCTTTTATGTGCCCTTAAATTGCTCGTTTGAGAAAATCGCTTGTTGCAAACATCACATTCATAAGGTTTGTCTCCAGTATGTGTCATTTTATGTGTCCTTAAACTGATCAATTGAGAAAATCTCTTGTTGCAAACATCACATTCATGAGGTTTGCATGCAGTATGCATTCTTTTATGTGTCCTTAAATTGCTCAATCGATCGAATCTCTTGTTGCAAACATCACATTCATAAGGCTTGTCTCCAGTATGTGTCCTTTTATGTGCCCATAAATTGCTCGTTTGAGAAAATCGCTTGTTGCAAACATCACATTCATAAGGTCTGTCTCCAGTATGTGTCCTTTTGTGTGTCCTTAAACTACTCATTTGAGAAAATCTCTTGTTGCAAACATCACATTCATAAGGTCTGTCTCCAGTATGTATCATTTTGTGTGTCCTTAAACTGCCCAATGCTGTAAATCTCTTGTTGCAAACATCACATTCATAAGGCTTGTCTCCAGTATGTGTCCTTTTATGTGCCCTTAAATTGCTCATATGAGAAAATCGCTTGTTGCAAACATCACATTCATAAGGTTTTTCGCCAGTGTGTGTTATTTTATGTTGACTTAAACGGCTTGGAGCTGAAAATCTTTTGTTGCAAACATCACATTCATAAGGTTTGTCTCCAGTGTGTGTCATTTTATGTCTCCTTAAAGTGCTCAATCGAGAAAATCTCTTGTTGCAAACATCACAATCATAAGGCTTGTCTCCAGTATGTGTCGTTTTATGTGCCCTTAAAGTGCTCATTTGAGAAAATCTCTTGTTGCAAACATCACATTCATAAGGTTTGTCTCCAGTGTGTGTCATTTTATGTGTCCTTAAAGTGCTCAATCGAGAAAATCTATTGTTGCAAACATCACATTCATAAGGTTTGTCTCCAGTGTGTGTCATTTTATGTGTCCTTAAAGTGCTCAATCGAGAAAATCTATTGTTGCAAACATCACATTCATAAGGTTTTTCTCCAGTATGTGTCCTTTCATGCCTTACCAAATCGTTTCTGAATGGAAATAACTTGTTACAGAACTCACATTTCACAGGCATCGTTTTTCTCTGACGCCGTCGCTCGTGCTGCCAAACTTCGATGAAAAATGTTACCCAATGGAATCCTTGAATCTTTGCTTTCTAAATCTTTATAATAGTTTATATCCGAATTATTTTGACATAAAAATGAGCAAAAAAAGGTCACGCAGTTCAGAACTGAGAACAGTACGAAAATATGGCGCGAAAACGGAAGCTGTTAAAGTCGTGCTTCCGCTTCCACTATGCAAAAGAAAATTCTCGGTGATTGAAGTGTGGGACAATCCTAACCTGCGAACGGGCATGCTCTGGGAACAAGATTGAGTGAATTTCAGTCAATCAGTGAATTATATATATTTCAAATAGTCTCAAATCAATTTCAAAAGAAACCTCAAAACAACAAATCAGATCAATTTATTCACACTATTTTTTAATAAATGTACATCATTAACATAAGTAGTTCATTTAATTAAATAAAAAGAAAAAAATATGAAATGAACAAAAATCCTTTTTTTATTTTTTCTTCTCTAAATAGTTTTCATATTATCTAGCTTATTCTGACAACGGATTGTCATGGGTCTCCATATGACTTTCAAGTTCAGTCGCAATGTCAAACTCAGTATCGCAAATAGAACAAATGTATCCAATACCAGTTGCTTCTTGTGACTCTAACTCTTGACAGACATCGCACTGGTAGCTGCTACCATGGTCTTTCATCTTGTGTTGTGTCAAGCCCAGACAATCAGGGAATTGTTTGTCACATTTGTCACAATTGTAATGACTACTGCTAGGCATCTCATTGGCATATTCTTGTGGTTGATTAATTTCTATGCCACACATGCTGCACAACAGCAAGCCATCTTTCAAATGCACTCTTCTGTGGCGCTTCAGACTTTGTTCTCGTGTGAATATTTTCTTGCATACAGCACACTCAAAACTCTTGTTCTTCTTGTGCACTTGTGTTTTATGTGTTACTAAGGTGCTGGATTGTGAAAATCTACTCTTGCAAACATCACATTCATAAGGTTTGCATACAGTACATGTTCTTTTATGTGTCCTTAAACTGCCCAATTGAGTAAATCTCTTGTTGCAAACATCACATTCATAAGGTTTGCATCCAGTATGCGTTCTTTTATGGGCCTTCAAATTTTCCAATTGAGCAAATCTTTTGTTGCAAACATCACATTGATACGGTTTGTCACCATTATGTGTTCTTTTATGTGTAATTAAATTACTTGGAGCTGCAAATCTCTTGTTGCAAACATCACATTCATAAGGCTTGTCTCCAGTATGTGTCCTTTTATGTGTCCTTTTATGTGTCCTCATCCCATTCAATTGAGTAAATCTCTTGTTGCAAATATCACATTCATAAGGTTTCCATCCTGTATGTATTATTTTATGTTTAGTTAAATTATGTGGAGCTGCAAATCTTTTGTTGCAAACATCACATTCATAAGGTTTGTCTCCAGTGTGTGTTATTTTATGTTCAGCTAAACGGCTTGGAAATAAAAATCTCTTGTTGCAAACATCACATCCATAAGGTTTGTCTCCAGTATGTGTCCTTTTATGTGACTTTAAATTGCTCATTTGAAAAAATCTCTTGTTGCAAACATCACATTCATAAGGTTTGCATCCTGTATGTGTTATTTTATGTTTAGTTAAATTACCTGAAGTTGCATATCTCTTGTTGCAAACATCACATTCATAAGGTTTGTCTCCAGTGTGTGTTATTTTATGTTGAGCTAAATGACTTGGAGCTAAAAATCTCTTGTTGCAAACATCACATTCATAAGGTCTGTCTCCAGTATGTGTCGTTTTATGTGCCCTTAAATTGCTCATTTGAGAAAATCGCTTGTTGCAAACATCACATTCATAAGGTTTGTCTCCAGTATGTGTCCTTTTATGTAACCTTAAATCGCTCATTTGAGAAAATCGCTTGTTGCAAACATCACATTCATAAGGTTTGTCTCCAGTGTGTGTTATTTTATGTCTAGCTAAACTGCTTGTAACTGAAAATCTTTTGTTGCAAACATCACATTCATAAGGCTTGTCTCCAGTATGTGTCCTCTTATGTGCCCTTAAACTGTTCATTTGAGAAAATTGCTTGTTGCAAACAGCACATTCAAAAGGTTGGTCTCCAGTATGTGTCCTTTTATGTGCCCTTAAATTGCTCATTTGAGAAAATCTCTTGTTGCAAACATCACATTCATAAGGTTTGTCTCCAGTATGTCCCCTTTTGTGTGCCCTTAAATTGCTTATTTTAGAAAATCTCTTGTTGCAAACATCACATTCATAAGGCCTGTCTCCAGTATGTGTAATTTTGTGTTTCCTTAAACTGCCCAATGCTGCAAATCTCTTGTTGCAAACATCACATACATGAGGTTTGTCTCCAGTATGTGTCCTTTCATGCCTTACCAAATCGCTTCTGTATGAAAATATCTTGTTACAGAACACACATTTCACAGGCATGGCTTTTCTCTGACGTTGTCGCTAATACAGCTAAACTTCGATGAAAAATGTTACTCAATCGAATCCTTGCTTTTTAAATCTTTATAATACTTTATATCCGAATTATTTTGACATAGAAACGAGCTAAATAAAATCACACAGTTCAGAACCACTGCATGTTCAGAACTGAGAACACTATCAGTGTTTCCACAACGATCATTCAAATTTCCTTGATTTTGCTTTAAAATTTCCTTGAAATGGGATGTAATTTCCTTGATTAACCGAAGTATATTTCGGCAACTAGAATTCATCAATACTTATATAAAATAAGACAGAAACAGAATGGTACATTTATTTCGTACAACTCTTAGAAACAAAGCCTTTACACAACAATTTTGAAAGCTTTAAAATGTAAAATACTAGAGTTTTAATATTGTTCTCAATAGTCAAGAAATTCACATGACAAATAAATTCATATAAATTCGCCTGCACACAGCACGCTACCTGATTTCCGCCTAAAATTCAGGTTGTGTGCAGCCTACTTAATATTTATTTAATAATTCTAGATTCTACTGACTCGGTCACAGGCTCCTAAAGAGGTTTTTTTATTTTTGCATGCGGACATATTGGTTATGAGCGAAGGAAAGTAATATAATTTAAAATTAATGAAAGGTTCCTGAAAGAATCTTCAAAGCATTTCACAAAAATTCCTTAAATTTCCTTAGAATTTTCAAAAATTCCTTAGATTTCCTTGATTCCTTTTTTTTCCTTGAAACGTCTTTTTTCGGTCAAAATTTCCTTGAAAAAGGAAATTTCCTTGAAAGTGGAAACACTGAACACTAAGAGATTATATAAATAACACTAGAGGAGGCATCGAGTTTAAAAATTGGGAACGCAGCTAATGGGGGGCAAATTCAAGTCCCGGATATAAAATCGTATAGAAATACGCGGAAATACCAGATTTATTTCGAGTGCTGAACATGATATCTCACGAGTGAGCGCAGCGAACGAGTGAGATATCATGTTCAACACGAGAAATAAATCTGGTATTTCCAAGCACCCATGTATTTTTCTGTTTATTATATAAACAACATTCAGTGAAAAACAATTTTAAAAAAGCGTTTTACAACAAATGATATTTTCACACGTAAAAATATCGTATTTTTTACGTGTGTTTAAATACGATTTTTCTCAGTGGCCAAAAACTCTATATGACTTATGTTTATATAATAAATACATTAATGACCATTAATCAACTGACCTCAAACTCTCACTTATAATGACCGCTTCCTCACTAGATTTCACAGCAATTTCTTCCTTCCCTGTTTGTGAATCTGAAAATTATAATTGCGGTTGAATTAAAATAACACTTACTTTGCTAAGCAGGGCCCGCGGAG